GGCGCATGGTGGCAGCAGGAGGGGGAGGGGTAGGGGGAGGGGGTAGGGGGTAGGGGGGGGAGGAGGAGGAGCAATGGAAAACGCGAAAAAGATTTTCTCATAGTCTCGGCGGGACCATCGTCGTAAGCGCAATCTGCGCACACGTGTATCGAAGTGTGGTGGGCATTTATTTATTCACGTACGAAACGGTGAATCTGCATGTAAAAGCGCGTGCCGCCGACAAACCGAGGACAAGGGCTAACGGCGTGCGTGTGCGCGGGCGTGTATGCGCGTTGAGCCGCTCGTCGAGCGAGATGGTAAAAGCCAATGCGCCTTATTGATTCGTATCGCGGAAAGTTTGAAATATCACGACGGGTAAGAGAGAGAGAGAGAGAGAGAGAGAGAGAGAGAGAGAGCCAGAGAATTTTGACCGGCTCTCACACCCGTTTCTTATCCACGTGTTTCTTCTAACTTGCTTCCAAATCAAATATCAATTGTCGTTTCGTTAAATGCTTTTTTACCAGCGCATATTTATTTCAATTAACGTAAATAAAGTTATTCCTACAATATGGTCGATAGGGAAGGAGTCGGGCAGGGGGAGAAGAGAAAGAAAAAGAGAGAAGCAGCAGGAACAACAACAGCAGCAGCAGCAGCAGCAGCAGCAATTTCACAGCCAAGATAATAAATAGTACAAAGATGTTAATTTAAAATGTCAGCGGACGGAACGGTAAATCAAAAATTCTTAAAAATTTTGATTTACCTCTAAGCTGCTTTGTGCGATAGTCAAACGTCCTGATATTTTTTGCACTCTGCGCTTATTTATGGCTGACTAACCACGCGAGCGTTGATTCGTCAAAGGAATTCACGCAGTCCGTTAAAATATGCCGTACATGTCGTATTGCGGTATTGCGAATTGGAGAGGAGCGAGAGATGCGAGAAATAGTACGGGAAGGGCGAATCATGTATCCTTTGAGAGTTCACCGCAGCAGTTAAAAATTTTTCGTGCGGTATGTATGTCAATTTCACAGTGTGTGGGTGCATTATAATGGGATGATATGGGGAGAAAGAAGATAGAAAATTGAGTGTAATAGAAAGGCACGAGGAGCCGGCTTGCCGACTATCGAAAATATTGGGTGACAAGGGTAGGGTGGGATGGGATGGGGTGGGGAGGCGTGCGTGTACTTGCCTGCACGTGTAAGAAAGTGGGAGATAAAGAGAGTTATTGACAGATGGATGGATGGATGGATGGATGGATAGATGGATGGATGGATAGATGGATAGGGAGAGAGGATGAGAGGTAAAGGAGCAGGAGGACTAGGAGTAGGAGGTGGAGGAGGAGGAGGAGGAGGAGGAGGACGACGACGACGTTTACGAAGACGATGACAACGACGAGAGTGGGAGAGTGGTGTAGTGAATAAGTGTCGACGTACACGAGGATGAAAAGTGTCGGCGGCAGGCGTTATATTTTTAGATTAATGCATGATGCGAGCTACAAGATCCAGAGGGATAAAAAAAAAAGAGAGAAGAAGATAAGTGTAGGGAGGGAGGGGAGGGATAACGACGAGTGGGATGAAAGATCGCGCCACGTAAATATATATGTGAGTAATAGAGATTGAGAGCTGTGGTAGAGGAAGGGAAGTAGCCGTGGTTGTTCGCGGACATCCGTTTCCTTGCATGTGACCGCGAGGGCACGGGCGACGACCGAGTTTTTTTAAGGCAGCAGCAGGGGAGCTAATATTCCAGGCGGCCGTCGTATGTCCGCCATGATAATTTGATCGGGGCTTTGGGTCGCCCGCGTAGCCGCGTACTCCCGGTAGGGGATAAGCGCCGAGTAAACGCCGAGTAAACGCCGAGTAAACGCCGAGTAAACGCCGGGTAAACGCCGTTAAATGCCGGGTAAACGCCGGGAGAAAATGACTTACCTTAGTTGCCGGATTGACGGATGAATCGGCGGCACTCCGTTATCTCTTACTGTGTCGAGGTGCACTTGTGCCGGCTCCGCACGCTCGCTCGCCCGTTATCTCTTTTGTTTCGCAGCTCGCGGGCGCGGGGCTCGCATTCGCAGGGGTCCTTCGATCGAGCCTGGACGTCGACGTTACGAAGCTCGACGAGTGAGGAGCGCGGCAAGGGCGCCCCCGGAGGTGTCGGGCCGGGCTCCTGCAGCTCCTCGCGCTCTCTGCGTTCGCCTCGGACTCCTCGCTCGATTACGGCCCGGTGCTTGATAAAGGAAGGAGGTCGTCGTGTCGGGGCACGGCCTCGATCGTCTACGTAGGTCCGTCGCTAACGGCTCCCTGGGATTAATTAAGATATTTGGCGTAACTGCGAGAATGTCGCTGACAAGGAGGTGTCGAGACTGAGTCCGTTGACTCGACCGGTTCGCGCACGAATGCTTTGATGGAAATACTCTGGCTCTGTTTCTCCCGTTCTCCCTCCCCGACACCCTCACACTCTCACTCTCTATCTCTCTCACTCTCTCTCTCTCTCTCTCACACACACACACACACTCTCTCTCTCTCTCTCTCACACACACACACACTCTCTCTCTCTCTCTCTCTCTCTCTCTCATTCTCAACATACATAAAAGCGATAGGCGCACGCACTCACAACTGCGATGAACGACTTCACCGAATCTGTCTCTTTCCTGGTCCACTGAACGACGACGACGGTGTCGGCGGCGGCGTTTTTCGACGGCGGCAACAGCAGCGGCACCATAGGCAACTTGGCTGCGAGCGATAACCAGCTTTATATAGGTAAAAAACTGTAGAGACGTCGAAAAGCCGAGCGAATATGCGCTCCTCGCCCTCTCCCGTCTTCTTTGCTCACTTTTCTTCCCTTTCTCGCGCATGTGTGCATGAGCGTGTGTGCTGACGAGACACGCGGAAGCGGAACGTCGATAAGAATAAGCTAGAGGAACGAAGGAAAAAGGTGAAAGGGCGCGACGAATTTGATTTAGCGAACGAGCGATCGCGCGCTCACATTTTATGCATCGTAATTGCGTAAATTGATGGTAATTGAGACAATGATTGGCCTCGCGCCTCGCCAAAGTGATCCTTCTTCTCTCCATATAGTAATGAGAATGAAAATATAATTTCTAATGACCAAACATTTTTCCACCCCATGCTCGATCGATATTACCTGTAGGTTAACAGGACACTTAAGAGCCCATTAAATTACATTTACAAGATGATGATAAATTTTTTTCGACACAAAGTACCGTTTGCTTGTTCTTCTATTAAGATTTAATTCTCTTGATAATGTAAAGGGAAAGATTTTGAGTAACATCACAATGGGCAATGGGATTAAAAATAAACATAATAATAATAATAATAATAATAATCATAATAATCACCACACGAGGCTGTAGAAAAGTTCGATAAGGAATAAGCAAGACCAGCTTCATTCGATATTTATTTTATTTGAATCTCATCAATATCATATCTGAATAATGCGTAATGACACGATGAATAATCATTAAAAAATATACTGTGTTTTCTACAATTACATTTGATATACATAGTTTTTAAAGTTGATAAGGTAAATTAATAAGAAGAATCAATAATACGCATTTCGAAAAGGAATTTACCCCGTCGCTCGATAGAATCATCTTATTGTGACAATTAAAAAGTCTTACAAAATATAGTGCAAATACATTTGCTATACACAACAAGGAGGGACGTAACTGTTCTCTTATTCACTTCCAGCTTGTTATCTTGCTGATTCTAATCGCTACTAACTTATACGTGAATATGATCTAACGCTTTATTTTTTATACATATTTTCCATTTATTTCCTACTTTTTTACTTTTAAAATCTTGAATTTATTCTCTTTACAACGAGCGGGACTAATAAATGTAACAATAAGTTTGTTTATGTATTTCTTACAATTTGCATATAACGTTAAATTAAAAAATGTCCCGTTAACGTCAAGTAGATAATTCTAGTATCTGCGTAAGGCCTGGAAAAAGAGTTACAGAGACCTACGTACATTTTTTATTTATTTATTTATTATTATTTTTTTTTTGTCAACAATCTTTTATCCTTATAGTCTTATAATCGTTCGCTTCTTTACTTGATTCTGCTTATCTCTTGCGTTCATCTTTATTTGCTATACTTATACGAAAAACTTAACAACAGCTGCTCACATAATACATATCTCCCTTTTACAATCTTTAAAAAGTGTTAATCACAAAAAAAAAATCAAAAAAAAAATCAAAAAAAAATAATAATAAAAAATAAGAGTATCGTTCTTGTATACGTAATAATAAATTAAAAAAAGAAAAACAAGCAATAAACAATATTTCTTTCTTTTTCTTCCTATTTTTTTTTGTTTTTTTTTTGTTTTTTTTTTTTTGTTTGGGCGCAATGATCATTTTTTTTTGGCCCACTTCATGTGCCCGTATGTTCGTGCACAATATCGAAGACATACGACAATTTTATTTTTAACCATTAGATTGACTTATTCACACATTAATGAATAATTCGTCCATATAAAAGTTTTCATTCGACATGGTAGTGTTTTTTTTTTTTTTTAATTTTATCAGAATACATTTTCAATTGAAGACAACTATTCGGATGATTTCATTGATAAAACCCGTTAAGCGATAAAAGGAGCATTGTCACCTCAATTGTTTCTTTTTATCTTAATTCGTCATTGAACGTTTGCATGTGTACGTGATTCGGGAATTTCATACTCGATAATCTTGCACTTCGAAAGAAAGGCCTATATTATATCACATACAATATCCAAAACGCATTCGCAATGCAAAAATTAGGACCCACGTCAACGTTAACAAAATAACTAGAATCAAAAAAAAAAAAAAAATCTCGTTTGTTCCCCCTTTTTTTTTTATTTGTTATTTTTATTCTCTTTATATCTAATATACTCTACCAATCATAAAACTTGCAAATAGAAATAACGAATTTTAGAAACTTTTGCGAATCCAAACAGTCATGTTCTAATAATAGGATTTTTCAAAAACATATTTTAAACTGCATTCTGCAATATTTAATATTTATTCAAGGTGGTAAGAAAATGGTTGCTTTCATAATTGATTAATTATTATGTTCATAATGTGTAGTACGAATGTTGTACGTCATTGAATTACCGAGTTATTATAAATGGATCGACGTCAATTTCTCAATGATAGCAATATACGTTGCTGCTTCTCTTCATCAGATTATTTTTGAAACTTTTCTTTAAAATGTCTTCGTTGAATCGCGAGGAATGTTCTTCGTACAGTTTAATGGCCATTGCGCTTTACGAAAACGCGAAATTTATACCTATTCTAATTAGGTTATAGCCACTGCAGTCTACATTAGATGATACAAAACTCTTATCTTCCACTCTCATTTTTAATCTATCCTTATTTTATTTTCCAAGCTAACAACATTTATATGCTAATATTGCTACATTTTGTTTTTGCAGGCATTAAGCTCCTTGGACTTTAGCCCGTTATTATTATATGTGTTGTCGTCGTCTCTACCTGGAACATGTAATAAGCTGTAAGTTTCTTTTTCATTAAATGTATAAGTTATAATGTATTTAAATATGCGAGTATACTTGCGCGCACGCGTCCCTGCAAAAATTCCTACGATTAATCATATAATGCTTATGTGTACTGTATAGATTTAAACTCGATAGTCTCATCATACACAGATTCATTTTAACCAGCATATGTATGTATATATATATATATATATATATATATATATATATCGTTAATTTTGAAATGCCTATTACGTATTGCTATTTTTCTTTATATAATTTGATTCTCCCTCCCTTTGTTTTCCCTATTCAAATGGCTAACTACTTTTCTATAAACTTATCGACTTGAATCAACTTCCCACAGAATAATGAGCTGTGATCAAAATTCTAACTTCATCTCGCATTTTGAATTTATCCAATTCGCTTAGCTCTTAGCCTTAACTTAAAAAAAAAAAATAATCACAAATATCAAAACAGTTACAGTTTTAAAAAATGTCAAACTTTTTCACGAACGACTATGGTGCTCGAGATCTACCTGCTTGTTATCGTATAAAGTTTGAAACGATATACTCGCCATGAAATATACGTAAAAACAAGTAGCCTTTTATCAGACAAATAAAAAACGGAAAAAAAAAGAAAAGAAAAAAAAAATTTTAAGCCACACGAGATGATATAGGTATGTTCCGAAGTGGTAAATAGGTCCCATAATGATCTGCCTTCTTAGCAAAAATCAATGTCAGGCATTATTAGTATAAATGTAAGTATCAAACGTCATACTCTTCCGTGGTACTACATAATCGCTTTTCTCTATCATCCTTTCAATCCTTTAAGTATGTACACATAAAGTCACATGCATACTATCATACATACATAAATATTAAATACATGTACATGAAGAAATTCGTGACAGAAATCTTCAGAGAATCGATTCATTATTTATGCTTTATGCTTATAACTTCGCAATACTTTCGTAAAAGCCATCCGTAACTTACTTTGTTAATTGTAGTATTACTTTATAAACTAATATAAAATAATTATTACAGTAATTATTCGCAAAAAAAAGTACAAAATTTAATTTCTATAGAGATATTAGCAAGGTCTATTAGAAGAAAAAAATCGATTTCAAAATTAACAATAACAACAACAACAACAACAACAATAATAATAATGATGATGATGATAGTAACAAGAATGATGACGATGATAATAATAATAATAATAATAATAATAATAATAATAATAATAATAATAATAATAATAATAATAATAATAATAATAATAATAATAATAATAATAATAATAATAATAATAATAATAATAATAATAATAATAATAATAATAATGATAATAATGATAATAATAATGATAACAATAATGATAACAATAATGATAATAATGATAATAATAATAATAAATCTAAGACGTAAAACAAAAGAAAATTGTTTGGAAATTCATTTAATTTTGTCGATTATTTAATATTCGCGGGCACCATGTTCCTCGTGTATCCTTTAGTCACGGAGGCACGAAAACACGCGCGTATCATCCCATCACAATAGGAACAAGGTCCCGCGCAGTATCTAAACACAAAGTTGCTCATGTTCCTCTCATTATTATTATTATTATTATTATTATTATTATTGTTATTATTATCAGCGTCGTCATCATCATCATTATCATCATCATCATCATCCTTATCATTATTATAATTATCATTATCATTATAATATAATCATAATAATAATTATTATTATTACCATTAGTACTACTGGTATTATAGTATTATCATTACTATTACTATTACTATTATTATTTTATTATTATTATTATTGTACGAGCTTAATGTGAAGTTGATAATATCAATTTTTAACGATAGAGTTCTAATATCAATAACGATAACAATAATGATAATAATAATAATCATAATCATAATCATATAATCATATAATCATAATGATAATGATAATGATAATGATAATGACAATAATAATAATAATGATAATTATAAAATGGGATTAATATGAATCCTTATCGGCTTAAAACATTATCAATTGATATTATCAATTTCGCGCTGAGCTCTCGAAATTTTCACTTTATCTCTTGGGGTACCGTCTTCTCCCGTTTCCATGGCGAACATCTTCATTTTTTCTTTGAAACTTAATTTCTCCGGTACAGCACCCATTTGCAGATTTTGTTGTTGTCGTTGTTTTTCCGCTAATCTCCTCTGCCTCGGATCCCTAAGGAGAGATAAAATATAGTTAGAAGCTTTCTCCTATTATATTCGATATTTCAAACGTATTCAAATTTGGCCTCGTTATTTTTATAAAAATGTAAGTGCATTGAAGTATTTTTGATTTTTAAGCGATTGACGTATGAGCATCCAATAATAGTATATTTAATACAAACTTATAAACTTCCTGAGCGCCTATCACGCCAGGTGTTGCTCCTTGGAATAAACCTCCGGGACCTTCTGGTGTTTTCGGAGAAGCCAATAGCATTTCGGCATCGTTTATGAAGTTCTGTGGGATAAACAATTGGCTATAATTTTAGGTAAACGCACCTCGACTATTAAACATCTACCACTGCATAACACATAAATACAACTATAAAATAAATATCTACAAAATGGTTTCGATCGTCATATGTTATTGTTATTGTTTTTGTTTTGGGTGTTTTTTTTTTTTTATTTTTTTTTTGTGTGTCATTAAAACAATCGGGAAGGACATAATTAAACAAACATTAAAAAATTAAATAGGATGTGGTAAAATTCAAAACACTCTTGCAATAATGGCAATGATAATGCTTAGACAACGTTGCATGACGAGCTATACGATATTAATGATTACAGCAGCTTTATTTTCCTATTTTTTCTTCCATTTTCATTTTAATATTTACAAGGTCAGCATTGCCACATGCAATAAGACATATGATTAGCAAACGATTTGTGGATCATTGAAACCTCGGTGTACCTCTGTTTATATCAGCCATTGGACTCATAGCGAAGAAATGATTCATACTTATCAATTGCTGTTTTATAATAACTTTTATGAAATATTGTTATTGGTTAGTATTATTATGTAATGCAGAAATTATAATGACGACTTACGTTTGGATCCTCTCTAATAGTGTCCATTGTCACGGACGATATTATATTGGATGTATTGAGTGTGTTATTTCGCGTTGGCGACTCTATGTTTGCGTTAGGATCGTGGAAGGAAACCCTCTTGATCATTGTGGTTGATTGTGATCCAAGTTGAGAATTCGGCGTCGTCGAATTATTAGATCGTAAGGCACTTTGTTGGGACATTATGGCGTAACTCGAGCCCCGTTCAGGTGGCGGAGGTGCTTCGTTACCACATTGAGAGTCTGTAAAACATTTGTCTCAATTTATTCGAGCATTGTTTCTTAAAGAAATAGATTCATTGTATTTAGCGCCTAAATCGATTAGAAATTGCCTTAGGAAGAAAGGCCAAGTATTCATTCGTTCAAACGAAATTGATTAACGCAGCCTCTTATGATAACGTACCTTCGAATTGGTAATAAAATGATCGACGTCACTTTCAACTGTCTCAATATATTCTATTCTATCAATCGTCACAAAGATCATTTACATTTTAATATTCGCAAATTGTTTGGGGATAAAAATCTCTTACTTCACCGTCTATGCTAATTGTGTTAGGAAAGCTCGTATCGTATTATCTTGTATTAATGATTAAAGATCCGAGGATTCCCGTAATATGGGATGATGGAGTTTGACGTGATGCATTGCTTACTCGGTGAATTGGGCTCCTCGATGACGAGATTGTCGAGTCGCAGCATTCCGGGATGTAATTGCTGCTGATTTCGCAAGTTTGACTGGTGCTGCTGGTACATGTGTTGCATTTGTTGCTGATGTTGTCTGACCTCCTCTTCTTGCCTCCTCCTCTGATTGTCGTCAAAGTCGGTCTGGCGCCTCTTGAGCTCTTCCATTCTGCGCAGCCTCTCCCTCTCCTCGTTCGCTTGGGCAGCTTCGATGCTCGCCTTCTGACTAGCGCTCGCCTGATTGATATTCTGGTTCTGTTGCGGATAGCCGCCGACGTTATTCGGCGTCTTCTCCGTATGGCCGCCGTACGAGTTGGTCAGGCCACCGCCTTGCTGACTGCTTACCGTGTGTATAGGCACATTCGTCATCTGTATTTGGCTGCCGACCGGCTGGGGCGACAGGGCTCCTCTGCCCGACTGATTAGCCGCGCTGCCTCGCGACAGACCCGTCGACGTCGTCGTCAACTGCTGCTGCTGCTGCTGCTGCTGCTGCTGTTGCTGTTGCTGTAGCTGTTGTTGTTGCTGTTGTTGTTGCTGTTGTTGCTGTAGCTGTAGCTGTTGTTGTTGTTGCAGCTGTTGTTGTTGTTGTTGTTGTTGTTGCTGTTGCTGTTGTTGTTGTTGCTGTTGCTGTTGCTGCTGTTGGTGATGATGGTGGTGATGGTGGTGGTTAGTCGGCTGGTTATTACGATCCTGAGCGGCAACGGTACGCAAGAGACCCTGTACGCGCTGACCCGCACTCTCGTTCTCGAGCTCGTTACCCTCCTCGTCCTCATCCTGCTGATTCGCTGCCTCCTCCGCTCGCTTTTGGAAATCACGTTCAAGCTGGAGGGCTCGCAATTGCTCCTCCTGCTGGGGTGTTCTTCGAGGTAGTGAGCTCAGCTCCGTGATTTGCTGGTCGCGCCATTGGCGTGCAGCTTCACGGCGCCTCGCCTGTTCCTAAAATAAAAATCTCGAATTTAATAATCGTCTTTTAATCTATATGATACGATGTCTCTCTCTCTCTCTCTCTCTCTCTTTTAATTTAAGCTTCGACGTCTGAAGCGCCTGGATTAGGAGGATGCATCGATCAAACTATACCCCCCCCCCAACCCTGTACATATTTCTAGCTGTCTTGCAAGTATATGGGGCTTGCATAACGGGCCCCGACGCCCTCCCCTCCCCCATCTCGAGTCGGCCTGAAATACTCACACAAATCAATGTACACACCTTTTCTCTTTCCTCTCTCTGCCAAGGATTGCTGGCACTGAACTGATACTGACGTGGCTGCTGCGCACCACCGGAAGTGGCTGGGTAATATCCGCCTCTAGGGGGATCCTGCATGCTGGCATTATATCTGCGAACGAGTGGTTGGAATGAGATCTTACGGCCCAATCGACTTTAGCCGGCATTCGCGAATTACGACGAAACTCACCTCGATGATGGATCCAACTGTTTCGTATAAAGCGGATGCGTCATGGTGTTGGGCACGGGTGGCGGTGGACTACCACCCGAGTGAGGAAGCGAAGGTCTCGCCGGGGCCTCGTCACTCGGCAAGTCGCCATCCGGATGCGACCTGCTTATCCCACCGGCATTTGTGTACTGGCCGAGCTCCACTTCCTGTCCGTTAGTAAACTGCGGCCCGTTATGTCCGTACTGGCGGCCCATCATGCCCCCGTACTGATTGGCTACCATCTGATGGTGTTGTTGTTGCTGTTGCTGTTGCTGTTGCTGTTGCTGTTGCTGCTGCTGTTGCTTGTTATACTGTCCCCCGTACGGGGGATATTGTTGAGGGTCCGGAGGGTAAACGTAGTTCTGGCCGGGAGGCCGACCGTAATTGGGCGAGGTTGGGCCGAGATTCGGCGTCGAGCCGAGAGGTCTGCCCGGTCGTATGGAGTTCTGCTGAAGACCTGCCGCACGGGGATTGTAGGTGTTGGTGCGATAAGGTCCGACCTGGGGACCACCAATTGATCCAGGGCCTGGTCCGCCTCGGAGCTCGCGACGGCGAACCTCCTCCTGCATCTCCTGGAGTTTGGCCTCTTGTCTGATGATGTCGCGGGAGGACTGTGACCTGACCGGTGGACCTTGTTGTTGCTGTTGCTGCTGGGCGGTGTAGCCCGCCTGCTGACCCTGTGTCATGTACGCGGACATTGGACGCTCTTTACCCTGACTCGCCTCCGACATGTTCCGATTCAGTGAGTTCTGAGAGCCGCGCGAGAGGGTCTTCTGAGCGTGTAGAGGACTCCTAGGAAAATAAACGTATATTACGTCGCAGTTGGGGTCGTTAGAACAGGTTCCCTGACTATTTGCCACTCATCACCCATCACTCTTAATTGACAGCAACACCCTTAATTTATTTAACAAATTGTAGGTAGAGATTAGTTGGAAAGTCTTATTATTAATATTGCTAGATAAGCAAATAGCAGTGGTCAATTGGGTCATTATATTTGCATTCTTTAATTATAAAATATTTATTTTGTCAGCGCGAAAGATCACGCTACGATGCTGGTGCGGTTCGTAAATAACTTGATAATTGTTTTGACTTGAGTTGCAGATAATTTATCGATCGCTTTAAAATCAAATAACAACAATAGCTGCTCGCTCGTTGAAGGCATTTTTGGTAACAAAGAACATTGATATCGGTCGGAGAAAAGTCATTCCTTTCATTTCCACGTATTGCCGGGGAGTAGCTGTAGATGGCTTGTCGATCGCGTTCTCGCTTTGCCAAATTATTAATCTATAAATAGTGGATCTATGGAGTACTGATTTGACAAGAAAACAATGTCCGAACGAGCATCACTACCATAATTCGTTAAAGGATAATTCGTTTTAAGCCTTTGCTGGATGCTCGTCGAGCGTGCACATATCGCCGAAGGCTACTCCCCTCGTCACAGCCACCACCTCAAACTCAATTTCCCCAACTATTAGTGATAAGTACCTGTCGTCGGAAGATTGAGGCGGGCTCGGTTGTTGCTTCAAGGTCGGATCTTGATTCCTGTAGACGCTTAAGTTCTGATAGAATCTCTCTGCCTCGTTACTCTGCATGGCGCTCTGTCCGTGCAGGTGGCTCGGATTCAAATTGGGAGACGACTGTTGTCTGTTGGATAAGCCGCTAGGTGGCAGAGTGCCAGCTCTATTTGGATCGTGCAAATTGTGACTGGATCTGAAATTATCGAATCGCGCCACCTTTGATTGATAATAATGCTTTATAGGCGATATATAGATTATATGGAGCGAGTGAAGGGTAATTTTGTACGAACTTGGTTGTTCGGCATTGCTTGCGGCGCCAATGTTAATGCGCGAAAAACCGCTCAAGCTAACTTTGTTATATCGATCGCACACTTACTCGAGCGTAAGTTTAAGGATTAATGCATTTAATCAGTGGGCGGAAAGAATGATAAGCAATTCGACGCTAGACTCGATAGAGCTCCCGGTATGTATGCATTATGCATGTACGAATATTGAATCATTTTAACTCTCATTTTAACTGAGCTGTGTGCATAAGATCTATGCTGAGTCGATTAAAGTCCGATAATGCGTTGGATTGGAAATAAACGAGTCTCCTTCGCATTACAAATTATCCAAGACATTGTTCAAGATTTCAAAATTTTTTCCCGAGAGTAATAATACTAATGATAATAGTATATGTATTAGTAGTAATAGTAATAGTAATAATAATTATGATTATTAAAGGCAAAAGAACGTGGATCTTACCTCGATCGTAGAGATGTGGCGCCGTTCATGGCGGGCATCGGTGGCGGCTGTACCGGGGGCGTCACGCTATTACTCGAGGAGGCCCTGCTATATCCTGGATTAAAGACCTCGTGCTGGAGCTTCCCTTCGGTCCCTACATCTGTTCCATTCGAGCGTTACAGATAAAGCCAGAGTTGGCGACGCAGAAGACGACGAGGTCGCGATCGCGCGTGAACAGGTGTTTGTGTATCGGATGAATGAGAGCGTGTGTGAGGTGAGAGTGTTAAAAGCGCGAGTGTCAATTAAGTGAGAGTAAGAGAGACATATAGGGTATGATCGATAGGGTATATCCATATACACACACGCGCGCGCGTGTGTGCGTGTGCGTGGTGTGGTGTGTGTGCGTGCGTGCGTGTGTATAGATTGATAGAGGGAGATAGATAGATAGATAGATAGATAGAGAGAGAGAGAGAGAGAGAGAGAGAGAGAGAGATACACACACACGACGAGAGAGACGAACGACGGAGTGGGAAAAGAAAAGATAAACGTGTAAGCGTGTTGGTTGTGGTACTTACTGTGAAGAGCGGGAACGGATTTGCTGCTGTGTATTTGCTGTGGAGTAGGCGCGTCGTGTCCCAAGCGTGACGACAAATCGCGTTCGCTCATGCGTCGGGGACCTGAGGGCGAAGCGCGCAACAAGATGCACAAGAACAAATGCACAACATTAAACATCTAATTGTCGCATGCACGTGCATGTAGCTAACGTGCCTATGCATAGCGATACTCTAAGCCCAATAAAGACCCTCGTTCGTTATTCATGCAAATGCCGCCACCATGAACTCCTCTCAGCGCATAACAACGACGCACGAATTTATGCGACCATAAATTTTGGCAAATCTGGCCGGCTGCCGCTCCACTACCTCTACGTATCTTACACACGACTTGCATCATTATTCAGTAACGAGGCTATTTTATAAACATATTCACTTTGATATCTTAGCCGCTATTCCAGCTTGCCGGCTACGAAAATTATACTTCCACATTTTAACTTTTATGGATAATTTTAAAATAGCTTCATAACTGAAATGACACGTCTTTATTGAGAGTAAAGCGAACAATGTAGCCACTGCGTCTAAATAAAATCTAATGCAATGCATTAACGAAGGCATAACATTGTCATTCACCGTGCCAAAAGCATTAAAATAATTGTAAAATAAACATTTGTACACGCACGCGCACGCGCACGCAAAGACAGACAGACAGACGTAACACATAACTAAAGACATTGAGAAAGGCGTAAAGCTTACAATTTACCTTAAACAAATTCTAACACTCGTATATTCAACAAGAGTCGAGTTTTGTAATATCGCATTATAATATGAAAATAGACATTGTTTTTTGGTAAATTGCATGAATTACGCGTGCGCCATAGAGGGCCATTAAATGTACAGAGTAGAGGGGATAATAAACATAAGGCAATCGGACGATCGAAACCCTAATGGCTTATAAACATTCCAACGAAAGTAAAATAAAAAATAATCATAACGAATCGTGTGGTAACTCAAGAGCACAACGAAGGTAAAATAACAAAATGAGTCTGCACATGTGCACTAAACGTACGACGACTAGTGCCATGATTCTGAATCATCGCCGGCTTACGCGATTCGGTGCGACCCTGATGATGCTGCGAGGACTTCTCCATTAGGATCCAATCTACCCTCTTGCGTCTCGGCCTCGCTTTTCTCTCCGATACGTCCTGGTCGCTCTTGGCCTTCTTCCTCCCGATTGCTAATTTTCGCCTCGGCCCCAAGCCCCCCGCCCTCCTAACGTAGCACCGCGCGTGTCCCACGGTACGACCCGCCGACCCGAGCTTCTCCCACGACTTACTACGACCATCCGATAATTCCATGTCCTCCTCCATCTCCTCCTCATCATAATCATCATCATCATCATCATCATCATCATCATCATCATCATCATCATCATCATCATCATCATCATCATCATCATCATCATCATCATCATCATCATCATCATCATCATCATCATCATCATCATCATCATCATCATCATCATCATCATCATCATCATCATCATCATCATCATCATCATCATCATCATCATCATCATCATCATCATCATCATCATCATCATCATCATCATCATCATCATCATCATCATCATCATCATCATCATCATCATCATCATCATCATCATCATCATCATCATCATCATCATCATCATCATCATCATCATCATCATCATCATCATCATCATCATCATCATCATCATCATCATCATCATCATCATCATCATCATCATCATCATCATCATCATCATCATCATCATCATCATCATCATCATCATCATCATCATCATCATCATCATCATCATCATCATCATCATCATCATCATCATCATCATCATCATCATCATCATCATCATCATCATCATCATCATCATCATCATCATCATCATCATCATCATCATCATCATCATCATCATCATCATCATCATCATCATCATTCTCATTATGACTGCGAATGTCCAGACCCTGACCCGAGATATCGCTAGTGCTCTTTGAGAGCCGTACCGTCGAGCGAAGCGAACTGCACGAGGAGGATGCCAAACCGCTCTCGTCGCTCCTTCTACGTCCAATCGATATCGTACTTTTGATCGTGATGCCTTCGATTATCGGGTAATTCGGTCTGTCGTCCGTAATCTCGGGCGCGCTTACGACCCGCGAGCACGTGGGGAAAACCGTGTAACTCGCCTCCGGCGACTCGCCGACAATCTCCTCGTTCATGGTGCCGTTGGAGCCGAGCGCATCACCACCGGTTGCCAAGTCCTTCAACGACCAATACTTGGACAGGCTGTTGACCTTGCCCCGAGCGGAGAGGATACTGGGGGGTCCGTTGCAGCGGTACCCGGGGAATACGTTTAGCGTGCTAAAGATCGTCGGCAACGAGTGCTGGCGCAATTGCTCGAGGCGCACGCGGCCAGAGAGGAGGGTGCGCGGACGTCTCGTTCCGCGGTCATCTTCGTGGCTACTTGGCTCGGGTTCTACGGGTGCCTGTGCTCTCTTGCTCGGTATAAAGAGAGGCGCATCCGCATTATCGAGATTCGCGAACTCCTTCAGCTGCTCAATTATCTGTTCTTGCTCGGCCACCGACAACTTGGCACTTCCCTCGGCCTCGTCATCGTCATCGTCATCGTCATCGTTGTCGTTGTTATTCTTATTCTTGTTTTTCTTCTTGTTCTTCTCCTTCTTTTTATCATCCTTCACCTCCTCTTTCTTCGCTTCCTCCTCCTCCTCCTCCTCCTCCTGCTCCTCGTCGCAATTACATGTGCCATCTTCGTTAGTCTCGGCCATCAACCGTTCTCGACCGTTATTTTCATCAACAAAGCCTTTGGTCTGGATATCGAGGAGAATTCTGCTCCACTCCTTCTCAGGCGTAGTGGCAACGCTCTTGTCAACCCTAAGGAGTTCGCTCTCCGACTTGAATTTCTCGATGGTTGCGCGCGTGCGCCTCCTCGTTTCCGCGCTCGAGGGCGAGGCTATATCCGGCTCGGACATAAATTGACGGGAGCCCGAAAGCTTACGGGACTTAATTTTGATGAGGCCCACCTCACCGAGCTGCGAAAAGTGCTTGGCCAATGCGGCGACTCTGCCGCAGCCAAGGCGCACCTCCTCCGGCGACCTCCAGCATTTCTCGCCGTTAGACTCGTCGCTCGACGGGTCGCTGCTATTTAGGCCGCTCAGGTCAAGGTTCAGGTCAGGTATGACGGTCTGCTGCTTGGGGGTCGAGACCACGGTCGCCTCGGTCTCGAGCGAAGGACTATCGGAATTCTCCCGGGTGCCCGACTGATTATTGTCCTCCTCCGGCTCCTCCGGCTCCTCCGGCTCCTCCGGCTCCTCCGGCTCCTCGGGCTCCTCGGGCTCCTCCGGCTTCTCCGGCTTCTCCGGCTCCTCCGGCTCCTCCTCCTTTTCGTGCTCGGGCGATGACAATTCAATGACATTCGTCTCCTCGATCATTACCGTCCCGTGCTCTTGAATCTCCTGCGGCTGCTGGCACTTTGCTGGCACACAAAGGTAGGAGGGCCGGTCCGTCTGATTATCGGAGACCTCGGGACAATCAACCGCGTGAATCCTCACCGTCGGGAATACCAATTCAGTCTTGTCGTTGGTGTAATAGCCGTACTGGGTACCGGCTGCCGATCCATAACCGGAAGTCGAGGCCTCGTGCACTCGGTATGGCAAAGGCACCTGGCGCTGACCAGGTATAGCGTGCACCTGAACCTGACTCCTGGTGGTCGCGGGGACGGCATAACCACGGGGGTAGCGCTCCACGTACTGGCTCGGGATCGTCGCAAAGGTCTCGTTGGTCGGGGTGCGTATGGTCGGTACGATCGGTCGCTGCTCCCCCGGCCAATAATCGAGGCGATAACGGGCGTCGAGATACTGACTCTCCGGGGTCACGAAGACCTCGGTGATTTTGGAACCGCCCGGGCGGTGACTCTGACGATTGATCGCGAAGCCGCTGGGACAGGCGGTGACCAACGAATTCGACCTACTCTGAGCATGCTGCTGCTGTTGCTGCTGCTGCTGTTGCTGCTGCTGCTGATGGTAAATCTGATAGGGATTACTCGCGGCCGCTGTTACGTAATTATGATAGGGGATGTTCGCGCTCGCGTGATGCTGCTGTTGGTTTAGGGAATTAACGCGGGCTATACTCGCACCTGGCTGCAGATCCCAGTTATCGACGTATTGTTCGTGGTAGACGTGTCCGGCCGAGTGCCGGGGTACGGACAAGAGGTTTCCCATCGAATGCGAGGAAGAAGCCTGGCACGGAGCCATCTCCTTTTGTCTGGGAGGGTCAAAGTGTTCCGATTTCGGTCGTGCCTTAGAGGCTGCATGAAAAATAATGGTTAGTCCAAGCATTAGTTTATGTAGCATATTTAGTTTATAAGCGAGGCTATTTAAAACTTCGTGTCGTATATGCACCGGGAAAATCATTTGACGAAGAGAATCGATTCTTTTTGGTCCATGGGTGGACTAATAATATCCATCCGTGAGCTGTAAGTCGTAGGCCATTGATCCGAGGATTCGTGCACGTTTAAAAGCAGGTTTGCACACCTTTTCAATTATCCGGATTATAAGAAAGAGAGAGCGTCGAACCGCTACATTATTTTTCCAATAATTAATTCTTAAATACACGCTTAGTTTTTTCAATAATTAATTGTCAAATATACGCGTATAGTTGCGAGCATGGCATCAGTAAAAAAATCATGTTGGTGAAACGTATGTAACGATAAGGAGATCGTAAGATCCCTTAATCTGTAAAGTCATGGACAGCAAATAATATTCTCGGTGCATTATTGTGAATTATGTTAGATAAGAATAAGATCACATGTATGAAGAGGCATGGATTACAAGCGGACAAGGATCCAAGCTTTCCTTTCTTTATCATTGATAAAGATTTTTCGATAGCCATCCCCAGCTCCAGTGAGTGCTTTATTTATTTTTGTTTGGTTATAAGAATTGTTTTACAATCGGGGATTGAACGCGCTTCATTATTTTATCTTTTTTTCTTTTGTTTACCGTTACGGACTAGTTACCTCTGGTCATTATTGGCGAAGGTTGCGACAGCAACGTCGCTAAACCGTGATAAATTGCGCCTTGCTTTGCAACCTCCAACGTTACTATCGGACCCGTGCGAACCAAATACTCGGCAGCCCTATAACGCGAAAAAAAGAAAAATAAAAAATATATAAAAACACACACACACACACACACACACACACACATATATATACATATATGCGCGCGCGCGCGCGCACACACTCACACACACATAAGTGCGCGCGCACTCACTCACTCACGCATATATATATATATATATATATATATATATACACAGAGTAAACATTTTTCCCTCTTGGGAACCTTTAAATACTTTGTTCGCTCGCTTACTCACTTTTCTTGAGTTATTCCGACTAAACTCTGGCCATCTACTTTAAGAAGTTGATCACCAGCTGACAATCGTCCGTCCTAAAATTTTTAAAAGAATTTTACTCTCTCTCTCTCTCTGTATATAGATTTATTTATTATAATTGTAATTCCAAGCTTTTCAAATTTCATAGAAAAGAACAATTAATGTTTATTGAACTTACGGCATCGGCTGCACCCCCGGCAACGACGCTTTTGATGTAAATGCCAAGTCTATCCTGGCCAGCTCCCTATTACAACAAATCATTAAGTATATTGTGCGAGCGAATTGTCTCCATCTTATCTACGATTAGCACTACGATTTAATAATGATAATTCCATGCGTAATTCATCGACGCGACACATATGCTCGGCAATTCCAATTGATCAAAAGCAATGCGATGCAATGGATAAATGAGAAAATAATAATTTCTGACACGTTATTGAAGGTACGGTGCACTCACCATCCATTTCAATTGGATGGAACATTCAGTTTGCACCGTCTCTACAATACATACATGCGCGTATCCTAATTTGCAAGTGAAATATCCGGGGAAAATACTATGGACACGTAGAGAAAGCACTCCGTCGGCAATATTCATATACTAATGGTAAGAACAATTCTCGCCGACATGTGCATTATTAAAACATCGGGAGATACGGCTGATTTTAAACGATTATCGGCCTTACCTTAGCAGCCACTATGCTCAGTCCCATGCCGTTCGTCGATTTGTGCAGTTTGATAATTTGTATCTCGGGCTGATTCTGCGGCTGGCCCACGTGTCCGGAATAGCCGCTGGATCTGTTGCTCATCGCACTGGGGCTACGGAACTGCACGCCCAAAAAACCAAGAAATCGAGTGAATTTTGGCGGGAGGAGGTGCTGGCGGTGGCGATTGGGGGAGGGGGGGGGGGTTAACCGGGGAACGGAAAGGGATGGGAGGCCGACTTACGTTATTGTGATCGATCATGTAGATGGTCCAGTAGCCGCTACTCGTCGGCTGAGCGGCCATTCGGCAGAGTCCATCGCGCTGGAGGGGTGCGAGGAACTCGGCGAGTCCGGGCGGCACACCTCTTATCACCTCGCAGCTGTAGCCGTCCTCGGGCAAAAGCAGAGCCAGGTTGAGGGTCGGCTCCTCCTCTAGCCGGATCTCGCGTCCGTCGGCGCGTGCCAACGTGTCCGCTACGCTTTCCGCCACCTACGGCATTCCATTCCCATCATTCTCTCCTCCTACTCACGGATTTATTTCAATTTCCCTGCCCTTGCAAATAATGTGAATACACCTCTTCTCCTGGATAACTTCGATAAAATCCAGTTACTTACGCTTCCTAACCCGCTTAGTAGCTTCACTAAGATGCTCACGTAATAAGAAAGAAGAATGAAGAACGAAGTGCAATGGTCGATACTGTTTTTTTTTTTTTTTGAACGCTAAACCAAGTTATAGTCGCGTAAATGAGACGCGGAAGATTAATTCGAGCAAAAGTACGCGCGTTCGTTTAATTGGATGTAAACTCTGCGTAATGAGCGCAATGCATTCCGATTAAGTGGTTACGAGTCGGGAGAGCGGGGGCCTAGAAAATCCTAGAGAAAATCAGCATAATTACCCTGACGACGTTCTCGATGAGTTCGGCGGGCAGCCTGGGCTCGTCGGCAGCCGGCTGATACTTCTGGAGGAGCGCCCGCACCTGCAGCGAGTTGAGCTTGAAACATGTGGAGCTGAGGGTGGCGAGCTCCTCGGCATTGTATTTGGGCGCCTGGAGGAGATGCGTCGCCTGCATGATGGTCGCGAGGTGACACTGGCTCGCCAGCTCGAGACCCTGGCGCTCGGCCCAGGTCTCGAGGGCGTTCAGCCGGGCCTTGAGCCTTCGTCCGAACCAGCGCACGCATAGATTGCCGTTGGAGACGAGGGCGTTGAAGGCCGTCGCGTTGATCGCGTGGAAGAGGTGACTGAAGAGTTGTATGGTCAGGGCCGCGTTAACCCGGCAGCGCCTCAGTAGAGCCATGCTATTGGAGAAGATCTGCAGGACTCCAGCCTCCTTCGCGGGCTCGTCCGCGTCTGCCATGAATTGGGACATCGCCGGGGCGAGCTCGAGCGAGACGCAGCGCACGAGGGAGTCGAAGGCCGTGTGGACCGACTCCGCGAGGATGTCCTGGGCGCGGGTGGAAAACGCGCCCACGTGCCGGTCGCTCTTCAGCATGTGCAGCAGCTCGGAGCCATTGGCCAACCAGAGGGCCAGCGACGAGGCGTCCATGTAGCGCTCCTAGAGAAACGAGCAATAGGATTAATGGGCCTTAGTCTCGGTGTAACGAACGGATTTTTCGTACGCTCGGGTCCAGCCGCTTTAGACACCAAATACCCTTATTGATTATTAAATACTCGAATTAGGCTTCGTCGATCGCTTTGGTGATCGATGGGGGGCCTCACTATTAGCGCGTTATCCGGATATCGTGATCATGGAGCTGGGCTCCATGGACAGGCCGATAAATTCGATAAATTCATGCCAAGTGGATGGCGCGAGTACCACTCGAGTAAATTTCCATCGGTGCTCTTGACAATTTCAAACGTTATCCCGCCGAATGTCAGAGGGAAATTTCCCATTCGTACTGGCGGTTATAAATTATCGAGAGGGCGCTGTGGACGGCACCTTTGACCATTAAAATTTCCTACATATGGCGCGCGCACGAGCTGAACGAGTCAATTGTGAAGGCTTCTTGTTGAAAAGTGCGCCCAGAAGAGGACGAATGAAAGGGTCTTGAACTTTCGTGAGCTACATTATAACGATATGCAGCCGGCTTTTTTTTTTTTTTTTTTTTTTCCTTTTTATTTTTATAAAACTCGTGCTGCAAACAACGAAGACAAGAATCTTCTGAAAACTCTCTCATATTAGTATAATACAAGATCCTCGGGGTCATTGTTAAGCGCAATTGTTGTGAAAAGTTACGGAGTACCTCGAATAATTAGTAATGGCGAGGGTGACAAATGGCAGAGAGACACGGTTTTCCTAACGGAAGGGCGACTCTTTCTTACTCGACTCGTCCCTTACGCCACTCCTCGCTTAGAAACCTGCTTCTTTTTTTCTTCTTCTACTTTTCGTTTCTTTCCATCGACAGAGTGTAAAACATCGAGTACTGCGTTTTCCATTTACGATCGAATAATTTTGTTCTCCGATTCCGCTCTGGCCGTTAACTAAAATTGTCTTTTATCGTTCCATAAAATTATACTAGCAATGGGGCCGGCAATAAAGTCAAGAGTCGTGAAGTGCTCGACATTGCATTATGTCCTGGGCGCGAAAGAGCCGGACGCTGTTGCACGGAGGGCGGAGGGTTAAGCCGAGAAATTTTCCGGCTTGCCGGGGGCGTGGGGGAAGAGGGGGGGGGGCGCTTGGAGGTCGTCGTCTCTAATCCTGGCCCTCGAGCCAAGTGTCAACTTGTAAAGTTGAAACAGGGCACCTAAGCCTTTGTGTGCGTGGTGCGGTGGGGGCGCGCGAGAGACAGAAAGCCTGTCTAAGGCTCTCTAAGGCCGTCTGGGCACTTGTGGGACGGCGCTATTCCAATTGGGTTTAAAATGGGCGCGAAACATGAGAAAGGAGCGATGTTCGAATGTGTAGGCGGTGGGTGAAGTTTATCCGATATATCGGATATGTAATGAGCGAGCGACGACGCGATTGCAGTGACATTTGTTTGTTTATTTATTTCATTAACTCTACTGTACGAGATGCGTGATATTATGAAGAATAACGCGCATGAGGCAATCGTATTTACTTAGTCCGCTTTCTCAATTTCATAAAATTTACATTGTTTGCCGCCAGCGCGCCAGCTCATGTAAATTGATGACGTTCGATTAATCGCGTTAGACTTTTTGAATGTCGTTACATTACGATTACATCAACTTTACGGTTTTACGTATCTGCAAATTCCTATCGCGCCGCATCTTCGATTTCATGTATCAATAAAAATCAATAAACAAATATTAATTATATATTCATAATGGGCGATATTTAAATTTGAAATTGTCGGAAATTGCGGCAGCCAATTATACGCAATTATATGTAATTTAATTAAGTGTCTCTCGCGTTAATGCATTGTGAGAATTAAAGGGTATTTTGTTATAAACTATGTGCACGAAAAATTTACAGAAGCGGAATAACTCCCGTTATTTATTCTGCCAGAAGCTCCTTATGCGGAAAGGAAGAGAAAATAAAGACAAGTTCGCGAGTTCCTTGATTGTTAATAACGAAATATAAATATGACTCGCTCATTATACACGAATGTAGCGAGGATTATATGAGCCGTGGAAGGGTGATACGCCTGGATTTCTTCCATGGTTACGACGACAAAGTATACACCATGAATAAACGACTCGTACGTTATCTTGCTAAATCTGAATTTGCATAAATCTATGGATATTTGTATAAGAGAGGTACTAGGGACGGCAGCAATTCACTTCCCTTCGATAATAATTTTAGGTAATAAGGTCAATAGCGTTACAATGTTCTATTAATAGAATATAACAACTAAGTCATGCGCGATAATGTTCTACGTCAATAGAACAAAGGGACTTATTTAAATTATTCATCATTTTAACAAGAAACGCTCGCCTATTAAATTAAAATGTCATTCATTTTCAATCAATTGTAACTTATCAAATTATCCTTTGTAAAGTCCCCTTTTTTTTTTTTTTTTTTTTTTTTTTTTTTTTTTTTTTTTTTTTTTTTTTAATAAAATCCCATTAAAAATATCGAGCTACTTTATGAGTAAGTAAAAAATGTGGGAATTTTATACGTATTATAAGAATATTTAACTGCAAAATATTGTTTGATTTATTGGAAGTTTTGCGTTTTCATTGTAAGTCTCTCGCGTCAATCGCACTACACACTCAAAGTGAAAAGCCTAATGAAAGAAAAAAAGAAATGTTTTTAGTGCTTTATATATAAGCACATCTTTTTTTTCTTAAATAAAAACATGTTATTATAAGTGATATTATATATAGTCTAATATGGAAAACAAAAAAAAAACAAAACAAAAAAAAAACAACAAAAAAACCAAAAAAAACAAAGAAGAAGAAACAAATACTGTTAGAACAATTATCTAATAATCCAGTACTTGCTTTTTACTTTTTGACAGTAATTTCATTTTAAATAGTACGCCGCTAGTTCGTTAATACATAGATAAATACAACTTGGCTGTACTTTGGTAAATCAATGCGCTCTATTTACGCCAAGCAAATGACGAATTTAAGTTTTATCGCATCTAATCACAATGTTCATCCATCACTAATATTTTTATTTATAAACGGATATCCCTTTAACTGCAAAAAAAAAATCTATCTAAATATAGTTTGAAGTATATTTCTCGTTTATTTCTATATATTATTAACCGGTGATTGGCTAACGGTTCTTAGTAAACGACAATTATTATGTGATTCAAACGTCAAATAAATTCAATTTGAATCCGTATAATTCTCGTCCCTGTTAGCGTTAATTTGTACTTCAATTTATTCTTGAATTTAAATGATTAAGATCGTTATACAGGCGTATTTTATTCATTTCATTTAGCGCGATACTTATATTATACTGTAATTGTATTGCCGAGGGGAGTCAACGGACCATCGCAATTAAATTCCGATTAAACTTCAGTCAATTGCATTTGAACGGGTAATAATAAGATTCGGGAATTAAAATCAAATTCACGGATTTTTTAATCTCGAGAATCCAAGGCGACATTTAGGAAGACGCGCTAACAATCCATTATCCCATTAAGAATTTTCGTATTTTCTTTGGACGGGGCACGATGTATGTATGCCGCGACAATCCTTGTATTATAATTCAGGACCTCAAAGGTAAAGATAGTCTGCCTATGGGAGCAGTTTGTCATCAAATCCGTTGTACCAATAATAATGCCGCAGTGCCGATCCCGTGCGAGAAATTGGCCAGGATGCCAGTAGTACAAATAGGCCACGGCTTATTCTTCGAGCGGAGTAAACTTACAAGAGGATCTCTCCTCGCTCACCTGTATGACCCTTTGTATCATGATGGCAACATTGGCGAGCATGACGGTGAGCCGGTGGGCCCTCTCCGTCGGCTGTAGTTCCGGCCTGTAGTGGGTGCTCGCGCGGTACCGAGCCGCCAAGTAAAGTGTGTACGTCGGGGCGAGCTTGAACTGGGGCGCCGAGGGCTCGACGTCGGTTATCACCGCATGGAGGAAGGCCTCCTCGGTCTCCTCGAGGAACTCGAGTACCGCCGGTAGGATGGGGTCGGTGCCGCGTGGCTGCTGCTGCTGTTGTTGCTGTTGCTGCTGCTGCTGCTGCTGGTGCTGGTGCTGGTGCTGCTGCTGCTGCTGCTGTTGCCTCTCGTACTGCGACAGTCTGGGAGAAAGTCGGTCAAAAAATAAGGATGAAGGATTAGGAATCGCTTCCTTAGGGCGAATAGTCACCGAGGTGATAGGTTAAGAGGGCATGCGTTGACGACCGCGAGCTTTTAGCGATAGGAGGCGATAGGAAACTGTATAATCCCGTGAGGTGAAACTCTCGCGCACAAGCGCCCAATCATCAACCAACTAGTTTCGCTAAGTATTAGTTGGCACACTATGTTATTTTTCTAAAACTGTTAATTGCTATTTTAATAAAAACAACTGTTTGCCAGTTTGCTAATCGCAGCTCCGAAGTTAAGAGACTTTATGAGATTTAGTAAGATGTTAGATCGAACGAATTTTAATGGGAGATTTAGTAAGTATTGTTATAGGCTGTCGATCGATATTAAAATATAGCGCTCATTTACTACTTTCTCATCCAACAATCTGCTATTAATGTTTATTTTCAATTTTCCGTGTGCTGTTGGGAAAACGTGCTCCTCTATCTAACTGCAGGAACGAGAAAGTTAATCAATCTTGACATTCGTGTGAACAAATATTTTAATAATCGAATGTTGCTAATACAACTCGTCATGATTGAAATTCGACAAGCAATTTTTTTATTTTTTTTATCTTTTTCTTTTGAAGTATCGCCTTGATTTGCTCATCGCTCATTAATTAATGGATAAAAGCGCGGGTCTACAGTCTCTCCTCCTCTATTCGCGAATTATATGGCTTTTCAAATGTTTGAGCAGAGAACAGTTTTAAGCTAGAGAGCTAGAGACTTTGAAAATACATTTAACAGATAAATCACGCACACAATAATCGTCGTCTCAATTTTTCTTTTCAATCATGTTTGCCTCTTATTTAATTGAAAAATTATGTTTAATCAGGTAACCATGCATATTTGATATATAATTAATCATAGTGCTTAAGATCACAATTCATTGTTCTTTTTCAATTCATTTCCTGTACTATTTCATAAAGTATTAGTTATTTCGAAAGTAAAATATCATTTCCTAATGGAATTAACTCAAAACCCGTTGTTACGGTAACCTTATACGAATATACGAACGAGACCGTCTTCACAAGTTTCGGTACATTACCTTAATTACACAGTCTGTAATATAAATGTGAAAATGTTGATATAATCGACTTAAGGCTTACCTGTAAATTATCGAGTTGCTTTCCAAATGCGTTCTTTTTTCTCTTTTCTTTACTTATCTCTTTCTTTCTTTCTTTTTTTTTTTTTTTTTTTTTTTTTTTTTTTTTATTTTTATATAATACGCGTGTTTATAGCAAGCGAACTGTGCCAGATAAAAAAAAAAAAAAAAAAAGAAAAATCAAATAAAATTGGAGAAATTGTATAATAATAAACGCTAGCTGTATAACATAATCCAATAAGCTCTAAAAGTTTTTTCAATCAAACATGATCTAATTTATAAATGAAAAACATACAAAGACAATACACTAATCTCACGTTCATTCTGACATCGAACTTTAATCAGATACGCAAGCAACGTTGTAAGCAAAAAATAAACATTACATTTACAAAGATACATAAGAAAATATAAATATAATACATTAAAAATAGTTGTATGAAAACAAAAAACAAAAAAACAAAAAAAAAAAACGAAAAATAAATAAAACGGCGAAAACAAGTATTTACCGCCAATATAATTGGGCACGTGTAAACCATCAATAAGTATTATTTCTTATTTTGTTTTCTATAGAAAATGGAAATGGAATATTTTCATGGCGCGATTGCTCCTTAGATCATACATAAACTTTACATTCCTTTAATTTTTTAAAAGCCAAGAATTCGAGAATATATTTACATTAATCGTCAAAACTTTTACGCCATACATTACGAGACAAATAATAAATAAAAATAATGATAATAATAAAGAAAGTAGAAAAATCAAAACATGACAGAAGAAAGACTGGAGTCACAAGAAAAAGTCAATACTCGAGCATATAAATACATAATGCCCAATATAATTATATGTTTCATTATTCAGTTATAGATGAAGATTTAAGGCAAGTAAGATAATAACATCGGCATGAAAATTCAGCATTTCCTTTCCCCAAAGCACTTAACAAATCCAATGGCTACTCTTGTTATTACTCGAAACGCACGAATAGGCCATTAAGTCAAACGATGGCCCGACAAATTATTGGAGAAAGTTCCACATTATGCAGAAAAGAATAATGTAAACAGGTACCCAATTATGCATGACAATGCAACGCTCATTATGATGTACGCATAAATACAAGAGCGCATTCCGTGCAAGTGACAATGGATAATAATTCCGGGATTAGCTCAGCTCACGGCATCGCTTCGCCATTACACTTTAATAATAATCGCTAGGAACGGCTCGCGCCGACCCATCGGCTTTTTCCGCTGGAAAATGGCCAGCTTGGGTCTCCGCTCTCTCTCTCTCTCTCTCTCTCTCTCTCTCTCTCTCATCAATCTCACTCTCTCAATCTCAATCTCACTCTCTGAAACTCACTCTCTCACTCTCACTCTCTCACCTGTGTCCATCTCTACTACTGCTAAGACTTGCGGTCTCGACGTTCCCATCTAAATCGAAGGTCGTCTCGTAGTTATGGGTGGCTTCGGGTTGGCCGTGGTTGGCGCGCGTGGGACTCCTGGGGCTCGCTGACGCTGCCGCCGCTGCCGTCCCCGTCGTCGTTGTCGCCGTCGCCGCTGCCGTTGTCCCCGTCGCCGTAGCCGCGGCAGCCACAGCCGCGGCGGACTTGGAGGGACTCGGGGGGCTCGAGGCCTGGCCCCCGGTCCCGTTGGGCGTCCCCAGGCCCGAGCCCGGCCTGTACTTCTCCGAGCTCAGCTCTTGCTGGCTGTTGCTGTCCGGGGATCGTCTGCGCGACGAGGCCGCCGCGGTTTTTCGTTTGGGTATTGCGTAGTGCGCGCGGGACGAACGGGGGTGAGGAGGTACGAGAAAAAAAAAACCAACATAAACATGGAAAATGATGCCAAACAATAAAATAATAAAAATAAGTGACGATGAACTCCGTATTTTTGCGTGCGTGTGATATTGATATGTATCAATAGGGTGGGGCTGTAAGAGAGATTGTGAGGATGGAGGGGTGAAGCGAACGAAAGTCCTCGATTTTCTTACGAGACGTTCGAATGGCGGAGACGTTTTGGTCAAAGGGGTGGTGCTGCTGTCACGACGACTAGGAAACACTTTTTTCCCTTGTCTTATTGCTTTCGTAGCTACTACCCTTACCGAGTACTCAAACTCCGTCAGAAAAAAAAAGAGAGAGAAAAAAAGAAGGATAGCATAAAGAAGGAAACTCGTCTATTGGTTACTCGCACCTTAGCGATATTAAGACGCAGCGAGTTGGAGTTTTTTTTATTATTTATTATTTATTTATTATTATTATTATCGTGGACAGGCGCTAAAACGAGAGCGGATCATCGGGAAAACGTGCGAGATGGCGTGACAAATCGATAGACGCATAGTGTCTTGCCGCTACGAGACTAGATAACTTGACATGGCTCCATTGTGCGAGCCGAAAGTCTCATAAAGCGACGCGGCCGGAGCTTGATCTTAACTAATTTTAAAATCAGAGGAATCTGGGACGCGGAAAGCAATTCATGTTGTAGTATTTGTAGTGGACCACTTAACCGTGAAAAATTCTCGTATTTTTTCTCATTCGCTTTGACAGCACTTGAGTGTGTTTTACAAGAGCGTTTACGACTGGATAGCGCCACTTTACCCAACGTTCCGAAAATCTATGTTCGTGCGACTCTTATATCCCGTCGCTCGCCAAATTCTCAAAACAATATATATATATATATATATATATATATATATATATATATATGTGTGTGTGTGTGTGTGTGTGTGTGTGTGTGTGTGTGTGTATAGTTGTATTTATCTTTGTGCATCATTGCAAACCGCTTATGTAGAATTAATAAAGATTGAATAGGGATCGAGTATGGATTTTCAGAGTGAAAACGAATTTAATCGGGAAAAGCGATTTGCTATAGCGAATAAATTGAGTATTTAGTAAAGTTAGATTTTAGTACGTGTTAGATACAATAGAATACTTTTTTTATATTAATACCAAAGTCCCAAATACTAGATAGAGTCCGATAAGCATTTAATCGAGGATTTAATCGAGCCGATTCGTCGACAACATTATCCGACCCTTCTTAGTCGATCGATTTATTTTCCAATTATTAAAATAAGATAATTCAAAATAACAATGAGGTAGATCGAATGCACTGTAGTGCTGTTTGCCACTCACATCCCATCGAACATGTCCACGATGTAACGAAAATCCATTTCACTATGTGATGAACAATGAAATATGCAGGCATTGTGCAATGAAAAATAAAAATAAAAATGCACGAGTTGTTGCATGCGCACAGATATAAAAGCAATAATAACTTTCTCTTTAACGCAACGGTAAAGATGTCGAATGCCATCGAGCTGACTAGTCGCCATGATACGTACATGTGCATCGCTAAGGAATTCCATGCTCGTTACCATGTATCAACGGATTTTTCCTTACCTGTCATAGGAGTAATCAATCTGCCTGCCGGAGTCGTGTCTTTGTCTGATGCGCTCCTCTGGTGCAGGATCGATGAATCGGAAAGTGTGCATCCGTCCAAACTTAATAATTGCTCCGTTCTATAATTTGAAGATAAGTGCGATTAATAATCGATCGACTGGACAATTTATGTAAACGTCGATTGTTTGCCACGCTTAGGGACGACCTAATCGCGAGGCGAAGCTTAATTCAACATTAAGCTTCCATATTAATCTAGGATTTTTCTTATCTTTTCTTTTCTTTATATATATATATATATATATATATATATAGAAAAAGACAGGTATTTATGCAATTAAATGTAAATTGCAGGCAGTATTGAAAGAGTTTGTATATAGAAATTTTATGCGCATTAGATTATGGAGATAATTTATATTATTGCTTTATAACTTTGATATTGAAATTAAAGTAATTATACAACATTCCCTATAATTCTCTATCTAATGTTAAATATTGTTACATTACATAAGGCAATTAAATATGAAAGACAGATAATGCCATTAAGAATTTATTCTCGTTTTCGCATTATTATTAACTGTAATTTAATAAAATCGTGCCTGATTCATTATATGTATGTCAGCTGGAATGAAAAGCGAGCAATCGAAATACAAAAATATTTTTATCGTTTCATTTGCTCTTATATGCTATAAATTATATTATGAGAATTATATTATAGCGACAAGTTCTTTATATTGTATACATTTAGAAATTAAAAATATTAATAGAGATAAGTAGATAGTTTTAGCTTTATTGTTTGTTGTAAGTCTTGTTTACTGTAAATTGACGACGACACTAAATAATGTTTTCCATGATTATTTCTATATACTTGGCATACCGTAAGTCTAGGTGGATATATTTCATTATAATTCATATTAAAATGTGTAAAATACTATTAATAAAAGAATATTAGCTATATATGCAAAAAAGTGTACTTTATTTTTATTATAAAATACAAAAGTTAAAAATGATAATAAATAGCGAATGAAGAATGGGCGATAATTTTATCACAAGTATGTTTGTACATTACACATTCATTGACACATATTTACTTTTTATTGTTAACTAGCATGTGGAGCATTAAATATTTTTTCTTTCCTAAAAATTTGCAATCTAGTTCATGAAATGATTAATTTCGATTCTTTAATCGATCGTCGTTTGGCAGAAAGAAAACATTTTAAACTCTTATGACATCTCTTGTCTCTTTCAAACGATTTTGATTGAAGTATGGCTATTAGCAGCACCTCTGCAGATTATTCGTAACAATGCAAATGCTCGTTTCATTTAAATAATTGCAGTGTTTTATGAAATTATAGCAGCGATGAACACGATGCATTAATCACACGTGTAGTACGTGTAGTACGATTGTTCACAAAAAATTACAAAAAATTACACTCATTATCGGCGATGTTTGTCTTGTACACTGATATATATGTGTGTACTCTCACACAGACGAATATCGATTATTGAATTTTGTGAAAAATTGGTTGGATGCAATTTGAGAAAAACGTTTGATTGGTGAACCGTACTGACTAAGCCATACACACGCATTATAAGCATAAAAATGTTTAAAACATAACACAATTACGAACAGCGAATGTGCAATAAGAATTATGCCATTGATGAATACCATCGATATGTCGATTATTCATTGGGATAATTATCCTTTATTAAATAATAATTATTATTAGATTCAGTGGATTTTCCATAAGAATGTACAATCAGGGGCAACGTATATTAAGACTTTTTTTTTATTATTATTTTATCACGATGAATAATGATGAATTTAAATCAAAGTCGAGTGAGGAGGCAATTAGAAGAATGTTTCAATGGATAGTTTTTAAAAGGGAAAATATCATCGATACGTGAAGTATTTAAAAAAAAAATAAAAAAAAATACGAGCTTTTAAAAATTGTGTTTTCAAAGAGTACAATTAGAGGGGATATCATTTTTTTTTTTTTTTTATTTATTTATTTATTTATTTTATTAAATTTGAGAGTCTGTAGGCTTACGTTGGAGTGGTAAAAATATCCGATTTCTATGCACGTATTCCACTTCATGAGTGAAGTGAATGTACTTTTTATTCTACGAGAATAATCAACTATTTCATCAAAACATTCGTGCACGGGTAAGTTGAATAGAATTTTTTTGTCAATGGCTATTTAAAATTACATATATACAATTAAATAGAAGTGCATGCGAATAAGAAGTGATATTCACAATTTGGTAGATTACAATTTGCACGAGGACAGCCAGGGTTAGTAAATTAGTTTTGACAGTCATTTTCGATTATAAAATCCATTAATATTAAATGCGCATCGCTTTGATGATCAAAAACACGTAAATTGCCCAAAGTAATAGAGGAATTCATCGAATTTATCGTAATGAGCGATGCGCTTAATTTTTCATCATACACATCCTATCCGACAATAATCGAATTACAAATGAATAATCAATAATAAGCTACTCCGGAGCCAAAAGTCCAATTTGCTAAATAGTTAGGGCGGATTAAACGATATTGAAATTATTTAGTCACCGGAATATCAGCGCAATTTTCTCAAAAACTGCGACACCCAATTGGCCGACGTTTTTATTCGTTGCATTTCAATTAAATTCGACTGAAACCAATTCGCGATGATCAATCAACTTTATTTCTCTTTATTTAATGTATAAAAATATTTATACATTATAGAAATTCATCGGGACATCGTAGATTTTAAATTGAACCTCGAGCACGCGCAATCTCGGCAAACTAACGGATTCGTCACAAGTGTTGCCAAGCTGACGCTAATAAAGCATCGACGAGCTGATATTAGCGGTCGTATGTGAAACAGCACCCGACTGCGACAATTCAATAAAGTTTGGCAACTTTATCGAAACTTCCGCTTCAAGCATCGAATAATTTCCAATTACAAGCACTAGAATTCATTAGACTAATCGCGAAGTATCTTATAACCAACTAAACTGCATGTTTGCCTATTATTCGGGCTATGACGTAGTCAGTGCTAAGCCAAGCCGTAAGTCTCTCCAACTGTACAATTGAAATCCAACTAAATCCCTGCGTCGATAAAGGCGGTTACGAGATGCCGCGCGGAAGGTCTAATTATTTCAGCTTTCCCGGCTCTGGTGGTAAGTACATTATCGCCCAAACTCTCAATCTCAAGTTTCTCACGAACGTCAGAGGCACAATGGAGAAGAACAGAAGGCAAGAAGAATATAATCCAGACAAACAATTACAAGTTGAATTTTACTTCACGTCTCACTGATTCGAGAGCTAAATAATGCAAGGGACGATAAATTTATTTTTAAGCGCTCGCCTTCGTTAACTACTAGTCCCTCGAAATATTTAAAATAATAATCATAATTATAAGCAGCGCTCGATGAGCTAACATTATGCATTGACTGTAATTTTACGGAAGGCTAAAATTTTCCAACTAGCGAAAGTCGATATTCGTCATATCGATAATGTAAAGATCTTTGGAAATGTTTTGTTCTTTGCAATTACTGGCAAAGTAAATTCTTTGTTAAATTTATGCTCGTATTTGATTAGAGATTACGTACACTCTTTGTGAATCATAGATCGACAATAATTGAACTTCGCAATCCAAATCGGCATTCTAATTTCAATCAAATTTTATCTTGTTCAAAACTTTTGTAGATACAAATTACGTATTTTTTGTTTTTCTTTTGCCATTTTGTGCAGTCTTCGTAAAATTAAGACTATCTATCACATTATCAAAAAACCCAGAATTACCTTTATTTGAAAAGTTTTAACATTAAACTGAAATCGGCTATGTATTTTTCAGCGACTAAAGCAATTACTTTGCTCTTTGTTTTTTTTTTTAGAATTTTTTTTGTTTTGTTTTTAGTTTTTTAAGTTTTTTCAAATTTACAAAAATAATTTCTACCGCGTGTGGTGGCTGACGAAGGGAGCGTGAAAAGTTTGAGTTTGCAAAACTCTCGATCAAATAAGCGTTTTAACGAGGCTGTAGTGAAAAAGTCAGTACACGTAAGTTGAACGCGAATGGTGTGTGAGAGAGATAGAGAGAGAGAGAGAGAGAGAGAG